ATTAAGACAGGAAAGTGGGTTGAGTTAAGTGATGATTATCATGACTGTTCATAAGTCACTTAAGTTGGTATATATGAGAATGGTAAAAAAATTGGTAGATGGGATATTTTATATAAAAATAGGGATACAAATATAAATGAATTTATGTAAGAATATCGATTAATTTATTTAGAGGAGGAGGATCATACAATAAGCTGAATGATGGCTATAAAATAGGTACTTGGATTGAGTTAAATGATTGGTTTTCTGATAGTTCTTAGGTTACTAATAATGGTGAATACAAGGATGGTTTAAAGTTTGGCAGGTGGGACATTTGGTATAAAAATAGGGATACAAAATTATATTAATTGATGTAAGACACTATAAAGCATTTATGTTGTAGTGGAGGTGGATTTTATTAAGATGACGTCAATTAAATTAAGCTTGGGATATGGATTGAGTTAAATGATGGATTTTGGGATTACTCATAAGTCACATAACATGGAAAATATCAAAACGGTAAAAAAGTTGGTAGGTGGGTATTTAAATTTGAGGGGTCGTAAATGTATTATTTTAGTATATTTTAGCGGCGGTGGTCTTTATAATGAAGAAGGTGATGGCATCAAGGTTGGGTAATGGATTGAGTTAAGCGATGGGTTTTAGATGTTTTAGTAAGTGGTTTATATTGGCGAATATCGAAATGGCAAGAAAGTTGGTTCTTGGTTAGAAATTAGAAGAGAATGGGATTAGATAGAATTTGTGAAGAAGGCTGAAGTGAAATATGATAATTGATTTTTCAATTCTATATCATCATCATCCATATCATTTCTATTAGAACTTCACTATCTTTCTTCAAAAATATATTAATTCTAAGGTAAAGATTAGTTATAAAAACAGTACTTATAAATTTAGAACATTATTCACTTTCATCATATAAATATGTCTCTGTGGCCAATTGTATTAACATAAGACCATAATTTTTTCTTGATTATAACTTTACTCAATAATAAAATAGCATAGCATCAAGTAAAATTAAAAAGTATTACCATTATATGCTCAATGTATCAAGTTACCTGTAAAACATCGTATGAGAATCTGCAGACAAATTATATTATTTATCTTAATTAGTTTTCTTTAAGTTTTCTTCTATTACAATATTTAATTTTCTGGCTTTTGTTTTCAAAAAAGTAACACATTTATGTTATCCTTGTATAATTTCATCAATATTTATCCTCTTAGAAAATTAAAACTTTCCTTAGAATTTTTAGGAGTTTAATTCTTATTCCCATTATAATATATATAATTAAAATATTCAATTCTTAAAAGGTTTTAAATGTAAGAAGTAACAATCATTTTTGAATATAAAAATCATTTGTTTTATGCTATATAATCTTGACCAACTTTATTTTATATTATATTGATTTTACATAAATTTATAACATTAAACATGATTACTGGGATGATATCAAAATAGAAATTCAGATTGATAGAAGCCTAAATAAAAAAGCAAAAATCTAATTAAATAATGCTATATAATAACAAAAGATATTCAAAAATCTTATTAGATAAGATTCAACTAAAGAATAATAAAACTTTTACTTTCAGTATGTTAAACAAATCACAGTAGACTGTTAAGCAACTTAATAGCTGTATTCTTAAATTATGGTTCATTCTCTCAGCACACCATTTTGTTAATATAAATCAGAAAGAGTGATAGTAATAAAACTAGTTCACTCGATAAGGCTTGGATACAGAACATAGAACTAAGAATTCATGGGAAAGGCAGAGTAGAGAAAAAGGATTCTAAAATAGGTGATTAAGATTCTCAAATTTATATAGATGTGTTTCTTAAAGGATAATTGAAATTGATATTGTTTTTAAGTCTCATAAGGGAATTTAACTTATCCAAATAAGTAAAGGTTTTAGAAAATGTATCCTAAAATTCCTTAAATTCATTTTCTTAAATGATTGATATTTATTGTATCTCATCAATATTCTAAAGAACAGAACATTCCTCTCCTAAATGATCGGATTTTAGGTCTCTTATTCAACTCTAAGAAATTGGAAACCAAGTTTTCATAAAATAAATCATAATATAATCTAATCCCCATC